ATTATTTGTGGATACTGAATAATAATAATAATCCATTAAATTAATGGATTATTATTATTATTCAGTATCCACAAATAATATCTTTACTCTATTATTTGTGGATACTGAATAATAATAATAATCCATTAATTTAATGGATTATTATTATTATTCAGTATCCACAAATAATAGAGTAAAGATATTAATTTAAAAAAGATTTGATAAAATAAACGCATTTTTCAAAATCTCCATCAAAATATTCTAGGACTTTGGGTATTATTTAGGGTAACTCTTAAAACCATTTCCTGTTTTGATTCATTTTTTTAATGTGGCTGCAATTTATAATTAATTTCTTCATAAATTATTTTAGTAGAAGTGTCTATTCCCTTCATGAAACCAAACAGTAGTAGCACGTACAGACAGAAATAAGAAATATATTATTCGTGTACCGGATATGATTGTCGTGGGGTGGTAGCATATTGGTCTACGGCGTGCTTTGCAGGTGGTAGAGTTGCTTGGCAAAAGGTGCATGGACTTTACCGGACCGTAACGATATGTATTTCACCCCCATGTATAACATAATCCGTCATGTGCTATCGTTCCAAGTTTACGAGGTTGAAAGGAATGGCATAATGCAGCAAAACGACGTAATGCACCAATATATCTACATATATATGTATATGTCGTATTTTTGTTTCAACAAAGCATTAAAACGAAAAATACAATGGATTTCATTATACTATAGCGACTTGAAATTAGAAAGAGGAGACTGTGGTAAATATTAATTAAAAATTAAAAGGAGTACTCACCCCTAATTACCACAAAATTTGTGGAAATTAGGGGTGAGTATTCCTTTTAAGTCCTTTGAATTTAAAACATACTTTAGTACAAAATTCGTGTGGCTATAGCGACTTCGGATGTAACGCCGAGTTCGGATGTAGCGACCGGAGTCGATCGCCAAAGAGCCAAAAAGCTTTCTTATCTTTTCATTACATCCACACTGACAGTCAGCAAGTGTGGAGATCTTTACCGTTTGTTTAAAGATATTAGTCAGGTAGATAGATAGGCGTGTACGTTGGAATGGTTCAGTTACAAAGTGATATTCTGAGTAGCAACTGCGTTTAGTAAACTTTTGAATAAGTATGACACCAAGATGCACATTCACTGTTAAAAAAAAGGCGGAAATCAAATTAAAATTGAAAAATGTTGAAGACTATACGTACCTGTATCCCTTTACGTCTGTCTGTAACGACTTCCGGATGTAACAACGAAGTTACAGCGGTCCCTTTGTCGTCGTTGTACCCGAAATCCATTGTAATGTCATATTCATTCGTTCTACTATTGGACCATCCCTATCTAAGGAGCAAGTTCTTACACCATATTTATTGTCAGTGCCAGGTATAGTTAGATAAAACTATAGTTTATTACAGCCGATATAGAAGATTCCGTTAAAAGTAATGCAATGTACGAGAAAATTATAAAATCCTAATTTCCCTGGCATACGCAGGTATAATCTTTTGCACCTGGTCATCATATTATATTTAATGGAATTCATTAAAACGGTGAGATCCGTGCAGAAATTGCAACCTCAGGTGGATTATAATTGGTACATTTATGTATGTAGCAAACATTGATGCCAGTACAAATATTCGAAATCGTAAAATCGTATGCGGAATATGATATTTATGAATGCATTCATTGAGCGCGGCATCGGGCAAACAGATTTCATTAATGCGATCGGCTTTTATGGTTTTCGAAAAACATTTATTAGCGACTTTATTACGTGGGAACCGACTAGTGGATGACAGTACGCGTGAATTTTAATGACCTTTCGTATGCAATTTTATTAGAGGCAAATCATTATCGCACTCCCTGTCAGTCCGTTTCCGGCTTTGTTCGTTCGCTTTTCATGTGAAACAATGTTGCAAAACCTTTTCTGATTTTGAAAATATTGATTAAAGTTACAGAAGCTAAAAGTGAGGGATATGAGAAGACAAATTTGGAGGCAGAAGATGTTAAAGATAGGAACAAAGAATATTTAGGAGAAGGAACATTGGAACGAGTGGGAAAGATGGGGAATGTGTATAGCTGATGAGATGGTAAGAGTTAGGTGCAGTGAGATAGTAAGGGGGGGATACTTTGAGATCGATTGAAAGGTCAAGACATGCAGGATGAATGAAAGCCTTGTTGTGGGAGCATTGGTAGGATGATTGTATGCGAGGATATTTGAAGGAGAAAAGGGATAAGTATGGTATTGTAAGGTTTTGAGTTGAGAATTGAAAGGATGAAAGGATTTGTAGACGACGGAGGAGGAAACAGTGTTACATGCATTAGGAGAGTATGTTAAAAGTAGAGATAAAGATTTGGTAGAGTGTAGTGATACAATATGAGAGAGTGGCGTTGGTTTGACCTTATTGAAGAGATTACGTATGTAAAAAGAGAAAAGTGAGGGGTAGTTGTTGAAATAAAGGAGGTCTTTAACAGAAAGAAGATGATAAAGGTATTAGCATGGAAATAACAGAATATAAAAAAGATAAAATATATAGAAAAGGATTTATAATCATTTGGAAGGGATTATAGTAAAAGGATTGGCAGAGAATATTGCATAAAGATACATGGAAGTGAAAGCAGCTAAGAGGTAAAAGGGATGGGCATTTAGATGGAAAAGGGAAGAATTCCGTAGAATGTAAAATCAAAAAATGGATTGGGAATTGTAAATGAAGATTTTCAGGGAGATGCAAATAGGGAATTTAATATTATTAGATCTGAGAATTCGGTAATTGATTGTGTAATGGTTACGGTTAAGAGCAGAAATATAGAAACACAATTGAGAATAGCAGTAGTTTGTATCTTGAAAGTTTAAATTAAAACCATTATTAATAGTTTTTAATTTTCTTGTAGATCTACAAAAAGCACCCCATTATGTTAAATACAAATCTCCAACAATATGTTTTGCTATAAGTTATGAAGCTAAACGGTTTGGAAAAAGTAATTTTCTCGATAATCCTTTTTCTTCATTTCTTCCAGAAAGGAAGGACAGAAACGTTAAAGTTCCCGGCGAATTATCCAAACTTTCTCGTTACGCAACATTTAAACTTTCTCACGTAAGGTTCCTAATTCTTGGGCTTCCAAGATATTTATAAGCGTTTTGTCGCAGTAGGGTTTACATAATATATAGTTCGAATTTGTCTGAAACATGCGGCCCTCTATAGGATGTCGTTAATGTACTTCAAATTCCAAAATTAAGAACATAGAAAGTAAAGACTTGAAGGTAGAGATAATAATGACTTACAATTGGCAGAAAAGAAGATGTTTACAGATCAATTTTTTGAATACATGCCTCCACTATTTTTTAAACTCAACTAGGTTTCTGAAAACGTCATGGGAAATAAAAAATTGCTTCCTCATTGTTATTTTTGAATGAAATTAATAGATAAGAAGTCGGATTATTGAGTTCTAAAAGCACTGACAGTCTCCAAATACTGTTGTTTCATCATCTGTTTCATAGGATGTCTTTAAGGTTTATCCAAACCAGAATAACAATTATCCTGTTTCGGATGAGTCCTTAAGATATGCGTGGCTGTAGGTGACAAAACGTCAGGATATTGAGCCCATTGGAAGCAGAAGAATATCCTTGATGTAAGTAATTCAAAGAGAATTTGAAGCTGTTATGCCTAAAAAGAAAGCTTTTGACATGTTAAACGGGACAAAATATTAAATATACTCAATAATGGGATGAGATACGGAGATGAAAGAGTGATAGAGCAACAGGCACTTATAGAGCTTGAGTAGCAACGTAGAGAAGTAAATATTAGGAAGGGAGTCATACAAGAATACACACTGTCTACACATCGAAGACACGATAAAGATAGGACAAGTTTAGGGATAGATGTATGGATATGTTGAGATTTGCAGATGATATAGGAGTATTAACATTTAGTCAGGAAGGAAAAAATACTGGTATGCAAGAACAGAAACAGTAGGGAAAAAGCGAATAAAACGATTAGAAGTGACTGATTTCGGTATCTAAGAACTCAGATAACTCAGGAAGAAAGAAGAAGCACATATGTAAAACAGAGGACCGAGTCGAGTCGCCTTCAACAAAAAGAAGAATTTAGAATTTTGGAAAAGATTGTTAAAGGAAATGTGGTGTTACATGCTAATGATCAGGATACCATGGATAGGGATAATTAAATATGAGGAGCTATTAGAAAGAATAGGAGAACAGAGGTCACTATGAAAAAGTCAATAAGAAATAAGTGAGGTAGGTTAGTAGGACACCTTCTCAGAAACGAAGTTAGAGACATATAAGAAGTCAGGAGCTAAGGGGAGAAGAGGTAGACCTAGTTTAGATTACTGGTCACAAAAAGTTATGGATGTGGGATGTTCTAGTTTTAGGAAAATGCGAAGGTTAGTTTAGGAAGTGGAGGTCCGTCTCCAATCAGACCTTATGAAGATGAAGTTGATTCCCAAGAGAGAAAAAACATAAGCTGAGGAATTGAATATCTAGTATATTATTAGGAGAATGCAACATTCTACAATTTAGCTTCCATTATCCTTACAGACGCTTCGGTTCCTAGAATTTCAGATGGGGAACAAATATAGGGCATCTTTGAGTAAAAATTTACTGACAATTTTGAAATGATTTTGCTTATCTATTAAAAGGTATGTTTTCGACTGATTTATGTAAAAAAAATTCCTGCTGGAGTAAAGTAAACACCTTATCAGTATCGGTTCTGCCGACGGTATGTATAATCTGACACACCCCCCAAAGAGGGACTCCTGATCGACCATCACCCCCCAGATCCCCACGAGCCAGACACAAACACGCATACACACAATCAACCGGCAATGGCTCGCCGAAAATTCAAAGTCACGCGCGACCTGGAACCACCACTCATCATCAGGCACCGCGTCCGCTCGTCGTCGGTCAGCCGTCACGACGCCGGCGGCGCATGCGCCGCGACGCCCGTGTCACCACGATCAGCCAACCTAGCCAAGCCACCGAGCAAACGACAGCAACCGCGGAAACGATATCAACTCAGTCTACGACGGACTGTGATCGCGTGTTAAGGCAAAGAAACCGAATTTTTCGTAATTTACGAACAAGTACCCTCTGAACCGAAGAACAACTAGAGACAACCCTCCAACGTTACCTAGAGACCATGCGATGACCGTGGGCTATCGGGGTGGCTGTTTTGTGCGCTCGATTATTGTTACTGTTGTACGCGGGACATTGCAGTAGAAAGACCGAAAAAGTGTTTGTTGTTAAGAGAAACAAACTTAATAATAAAAGGACAGGCATTTATTAACTATCGGGGGTGTTGCATCTGCATGTATACAGTAATGATGGGGCAATCCTCTTGGGCATATCCTTCCGGCTGACCGAGCAAAACTGGGCCGCGAAGTTAGGCCATGGCCTTGTCGCTGATTACACTACTGTGGCTCACCACAGGTAAACTAACGAGGACCGTTTCTATTTTCAAGCGCCTATCGCACTACATTTTCTCCTGTTTTTAATTATTATCTGTATAGGATAATTTATGAAAATAATGCAGTTTTATTATGTTGCTAGCGTCGATAGAACTCGACGAATAAAATTATATATAGAATCACCCTGTATCTATAAAGTTGAATTTAGGGGACATGACGCTCTAGACTGCGAGACTGGAGTGCGATTGTTGCAACTTTACGAATATAAATTTTGTGCACGAATTTTCTACGTTTTTAAGGACGAAGCTACTGGAAGAAGCTCTTAGTGGATAATTCTTATTTAATGTGATCGAAAATTTCATAACGTTTTCTAAATATTTTCAGTCAAATAGCAGAAACGCGTTTTATTAGATTTTTTTTTAGGTGGGTGTTTGGCACTTGCTGTTCATGAGTTAATGAATTTTCTGCGACAATGTTTACCAAATTTTCAACTTTTATTTTTTCATCGACAGTTTCGTATTTTAATCAAAAAAGATGAATTATAGCGTTCTAAAGGAATAACGAAAGTTATTATTATAAGCAAATTTCTTCGTTCTAGAACGATCTTTTTGTCTAATCTACGGACTTGTCTATTTGGATATAGGAAAACTTTTTTGGCACAGTTACAAAAAAATTTCGTACGGAGCAACTACCAGCTTTCCACCTGCAGTGCACTAACTCTAAAAACTACACATACATTCATACATATGTATATAGGTACATGTTGGTACAATGTTGCAACGAATCTATCGATTTCGTGTAGATTATAGAGATACGCGGGGTACCTACAACTTTAAATTTGCGAATACAATATTGATTAAATCAATATAAACGAATGATAATTAATTATTATAATAATATTTACGATTTACATTTCTAAAAGTGATATTTAAGACAGAAATTTCCATTACAATAAAGTCAATACCATTTCAATATTATGTGTTTTAATATTATATGAAACACTTTGAAACTCAACAGTGGATCAAATATTAATATGAAAATTCATCTTTAATTTTTTTTCCACTATAAATCACCTCAAGTTAATGAAGAAAAATTATTGCTGTTGTCACACCCTCGCCGGGAATCGAACCCTACCTTTGCCTATACGTACCAATGGTCTCGAGAGGCGACAACAGCAACACTAACGAATCGTACTTATTAAGTCACAGATCCGTCGAACTAATGTTAATATATGAAACACTTTGAAACTCGATAGTGTTTATATTAAATATTAACGTCAAAATTCATCTTTAATTTTTTTTTTCTACTGTAAATTACCTCCAGTTAATGACGAAAATGTTGCTGTTCCTTCGCCAGGAATTGAACACTGGAAAATCTAAAAAAATTGGAGATGAATTTTCACATTGATGTCTATGTGTTTTCTTTTCGTAATAATGAAATTTCAATTATATACTTCGTTGAAGTTAGAATAAATAAATAATTTATTATTTTTCATTTTTTTAGTCCCTATGTCGCATTCTTCGTTTAATTCGCTTTATATTAGAACATAGTTTTGACGATGGAACATTCTATATCGCACAAAATTAAACAAAAACTTAATTAAATCATTCAAGTCAAATTTTTTTATTCTAATTTTCAAACAAGCCAATTGTAACGAGAGTAAAAATGCTGATGAAATAATTCAAGGAATTCTTCTGTTCTTTATTTAATATTCATCAAACGTTGCACGCTTTACAGAAAAACGTCAATCTTTCGAATATTAAATACCCAATTATTTAAAAGAACCCATTCGGTGTGGGACGTGTAAGCGAAATTTTAATTTTGCCGGCTCGTTTGAAAAAAAGAGCCGACTTTGAATTTTATTACAATTTTGCTGACTTTTTTACTTATTACTACAAATACCTGACAAGTCACACGAATTGAACATAATTGTTTACTTAAAACAAAAAATATCCGCTTCAACTTTGTAAAACAGAAGAAGTTACATAACAACAGAGATGTTGTAGTCAAAGGTGCTATGCTACATCTACATATCCAAACTTTGACCAGTAACATTGAAATACATTTGAGAAAAAACTACAAATGGCGTGGTAAGCGCCATCTGTAGTACGATGCTACATTTGAGGATTACATATGCTCCAACAAGGTTCGATTATGGTAACGTGCCTATCACGTTGAGGTGAGCTACGCCGGGATTCATTTCAGCAAGTAGGTATCCATATTTTTAAATGGACCTTGTTGGAGCATATCGTAATCCTCAAATGTAGCATCGTACTACAGATGGCGCTCACCACGCCAAAAACGCGCTGTTAAGACAGCAGGTAAAGGTTGGTCTGTGTTTTTGTCGGAGCTGCCTGCGACGCGCTGATGAGATCCAAAAAGATCGAAATCGCGATTCGCGTCTGGCAGTTTCGACAGAACACAGACCACTTCGAATTATTTTGTTAAATACATTTGAATTTAAATCAGGACAGGAAAATTATTAAATATCAAAAAAAGGAAATATATAATTAGGTAATGCCAAGTTTAGGATGTGCCGGATGGAAATTTAAGTGTAATTCGGGGTTTTCCGCAAAGCGCTGGCCAAAGCTAGGATTCCCCGAAGCGCCTACATTTCGACCTTTGACTCTAATGACAGAGATATTGAACATCTTTTTTGGGCTGCATCACATACGTTCTGGCTCATTTGTTCACTGAAATTATGTTGTATACCTAAGTAAAAATAATATTTTACCTTTAAAATTACCAAAGTCTTGTAATATTTGGAAACGAAATGATGTTGCAATTGTTTCAGTGATATAGTTACGAGACGACAGTGGAGACAACACAGTGATGACAAAATAAATATTACTCCAATTTCGCGGTATTATTTACCCGCAGTGTACTTACAGAGTTTAAAAATACCTTTGGCCGAGAAAATTTACGATTATTTTGGCGAAATTAAACATTTACGGCCGTATTTATCTAGGTAACATATGTAACAAATTGTTACTAACAATAATACGCGCGACCGGCGACTATAAAACTTCGATTCTAAAACGATCAGCTTGAATTTTGTTGCTCTATATCACGATTTCTAATACATACTAATAGCTTCACGAAAGAGACCAAAACGCACATCGATTATTATCTGAAATTATCATCGAGTGGCATGGTCTAGAGGTGTAGACCATTGCTTAGCATTCGGGAGGACGCTGGTTCGATTCCGGATCCGTCTGCCTTGGTCCAAGTTGTCTGTGGTTTCCTTGGATCACTCAGGCAAATGCTGGAACAGTCTTTTGTCTTCATTTCGTCCGTCTCATCTTTCTCACCCGAACCACCACCAACCCATTCCCACGATTCCTGAAAGGAAGCTGAAGAGGGTCTTCCACCCTACCTTCCGGCGTAGTCCGGAGGGACTGCTCGTCCACCAGCATTACTGATTGGCAGGAATAAAACATCCAAAAAGGAAGGTCTAAAAGCATCAGTTGTGCGACTAATAGTTCACTTTAAAAAAAAACTTTTTGGGTGTTTCATTCCCACCAGCCAGTAATGCTGGTGTGCGGACAGTCCCTTCGGACTACGCCAGAAGGTAGGGCGGAAGACCCTCTTCAGCCTCCTTTCAGGAATCGTGGGAGTGAGTGGGTGGTGGTTCGGGTGAGAAAGACGAGACGGATGAAGTGAAGACAGAAGAGAATGAAAGATTATCTGTGTTATTACTCTGTGAATATTACTGTCCCAGCATTTGCCTAAGTGATCCAAGGAAACCACCGAAAACATGGACCACGGCAGACGCACTCGGAATCGAACAGGCGTCCTCCCGAATACTAAGCAATGGTCTAAACCTTTAGGCCATACCGCTCGGTTTAAGAGTTCATGCTGCCTAACATGCCGTTGCCACTATGGCATTTACAAAGCATAAATATCTTTTCTTTCGATTCAAAACCAGACTTCTATTTAATTACTTGAACATTCCTGTAGCTCCCATTGGAACTAGCAGTTTCATTTTTATTTGAAATGGTTGACACAACATGAGTCAGAATAAAATGAGGCAGCTAGTATATTATGAATCTTTATAATTTTTTTATATACCTAAGTGATGTTAACTGCTTCAAAAGTGGCATATTTTATAAGTTCTCAAGTATTAGTTGTTTATATAAAAATTCTCTAGGAATTATTGTTCTATTCCAGAATTATTAAAGAACTTTATAAACAATTTCGTTTGTATTTTTTGGTAAAACTCGGGAACGAGTGGACCAATTTTGATAATTTTTTTTAAGATATTTCTTATAGTCCGAGGAGGGTTCTTATGAAGAGAAAAATTGCCCAGAAAAACGTAAAAACCAAATTCAAACTGTTCCTAGCTGTCAATTCTAGGGAATTGTCAAGTGTATGACGGAGTATCACTTGAGCACGGCTCAACCGATTTGACTGATTTATTTTTCGTTGCATTTGTAAAAGAAAATTTTTGAAAAATACATGGGAAAATTCGGAAATAGCATTTTACAAATTAATATTGTGAATATATGTAAATAACTTCCATTAATTTTTTAAGCACCCTGTTTCTCTTATTTCTCATGGAAAATAAAATGTCAATAGAATACCTATATTCAATAAAGTACCAAAACTAATAAATCCAATCCCAAATCTAGAGTTGTTATTCTGTCAGTTGTAAACGATTTACGAAATATGAGTTGAAAACTTTCGCAGAATTTCTTTATAAGTATTTTCTTAAACATATACGGTCAATTGAAAAGTCCCCGGCCTGACACATAGATGGCGGCACCAGAACTAAATCCATATGATTTTCAGTTAGTCCTAACCTTCAAAAGACGCGTCTATAAATTTGACGGCTGTCGGATCATTAGTTTGTGAATTATAGCATTTTTAGTGAAGCAACTTTTGTTATTGTGAAAAAAATGGATAAAAAGGAATTTCGCGTGTTGATAAAATATTGCTTTTTGAAGGGAAAAAATACAGTTGAAGCAAAAACTTGGCTTGATAACGAATTTCCGGACACTGCCCCAGGAAAATCAACCATCA